CATTAATATTAATAATAACGCTTATAACAGTGCTTTAATATACGTAGGTACTTATTTTAAGGAATTAGGCTCTATGATATCCCGAAGCAAAGATAAGTGAAGGACATATTTTCATCAGTCACTGAACTTTCGCAAAGATCATAATATTATGCTCGGGGGTAATCGACCATCCCAACAAGCGTCTTAACCCGCGGGTTCCATAATTGTAATATAAGGCACYCACCTAAACAGAGACTAAATTTTGTTAGGATTTTTGTTTAGTCGGTCTCGTTTTCCGAGGATAGCCATCATCTCAAGTGATAATTTGTTTAGACATACTTACCGCAAAGACGTGATGTCGAACTTTCGGACAACGAAAATGTGCCGGAATGTGTCTCGTGACAGCGGAGCGGATGARCGTGTGCCGGACGCGATCCAGAACTAAACTGACTGGCGGTATGCTGGACCCTGGAGTCTGTGGTCACTGGACGGATGTCGAAGGAGGAGAAAAACCTAATCGGAAACGATAGACTTCGACGGGGATAAATAACACAGCGGACCGTAATTGTAATCACCGCAAGGCTGTGACAACCACTGATCAATTTTACGCATTTACGCCCGATTTACGGTCGTTAGTGGTTATCGCCGAACGTGTATTATTATATTATTATTTTTCTACAGGCGAACCGTATAATAATATTGTTGTCGATACCGCAAGTTATCGATCGTTAAGCAAAAGAAGACTGATGTTGCAGCGATAGCGCCGTGCCGCCGTCAGTCGAATACACCAAGAAAACCATATGAAATAATTCATCAATCTCAGCTCGATGACCGTCTCGAGTAAACGAAGTCAGAAAGAAAAGTCAAAATTAAAAAGTCATGAATGATAAGTAATTATATATCCTTCGATATTCTTACGAATTTACTATCGCCATCGATAGTATTTCCCGATCCAAGCATGGTTCGTTATCAGTTATCACCAATTAAAATATACCGTGATAACATTTAAATAGAAAGCAAATTGTATAAAAACAATATATCTTCCTTTCGTGTGGAAAACTGGAAACCTACATAATTATTTAAATGATATTATTGTAAATCGATATATTTTGTAAATTGTCAATTTTGTACTCGTCAACTACTAATGTTCTTTTTCTAGCAGAAGATACATAATTGTATAGTTTATAATTGATTCGTTCACATGCAGCGTTTTCAATATTTACTTTGGTTCGCTCACGAGCATGTGTCTTTTCGGTTACACGTAAGATTTCGAATATACCTATCATGAAATATAAAAAATAACGAAAAAAAAAATGTGCAATATAGTTATAGTTGTAAATAGATATATTTAATTTACAAATGGTTGTTTTTAGGAAATTGAAGCTATTGCTTCCATACTGAAAATACCGATAAAATGGATTGAACCTCCGTCTGATAAAGTAAGATGAAATCGTAATGATTTACATTCTAATTTTCTTGATTATTACTATAAAAAAAATAGAAATTTTCRTTTAACATACCTAACTGGTAACTGCTTTAGTTAAATGTTGGATTTTATAAGATTTTAAATTTGTTTTATTTGTTCAACATTAGCCGTGGTATCTGATTGAACTGCCGTCAGAAGAGGCTGTACAAAAATTGTCTGCTCGTTCAGTAACTATGAGACGTGCTATACAATTATGGGCTGATGAACCAACTGTGCCAAGACTTCATGCATCATTGAAAGAAAAATGTTTAAATGGTTTACTTGAACCATATAAATTAAAATCATTCAAAGTAGATGTAGATTTATTTTGTAACTCACAAACACAGGAAGAAAAACTTGAACGTATAGAAGTAAATCAATATAAATATTCTACATTTAACCTAGGGGGTTTGATGATGTTATATTATTCCACTAGTCGTTCAGTTATATGCCATTTCAAGGACATGTAGATCTTAAAAATCCAGATGTTACATTTCAATTTATTGAGTACTATGGTTTAGATCCAAAGATTGTGCCAGAAAATCCTGTACGCACTTTTTTTGGCAGAGTAGTAAGTTTTTGATAGTATACTTTTATTTAATTTTTAAAATTGATAATATTGTTATTGTAGGTATCAGAGAGTGGACGCTCATTAATACATGAGTTATCATTAAAAAAGCGTAAATTTATTGGCAATACTAGTATGGATCCACAGCTTTCTTTATTAATGGCAAATTTAGGAAAAGTTTCTAACGGTGATTTAGTATTGGATCCATTTGTTGGAAGTGGTATGTGTACTTTACATTTTATCATAATTGTAACTTATTAATGTGTTGTTAAATAAAAAAAATTAAAAAATCAACTTACTACCTATTTCATTTTTAGTTCCTAAAATAATTGTTTACAATTAACAGTTATTTTTAATAATTAGTTGTGCTTATATCTTTTCACTCATTAATTCATGAATAAATTATTAATATTTCAAAAAGTAGTTGAAAACTTTTTATTTTTAGTTGATGATAATATACATTGAAATGATACATTAAAAAATAATAAATAYCCAAGTTAGAATTTTACTTTAAAAAAATTTAAATATTGTATTAAAAAATTAATTGTAGATCACATATTACATCTATCTCACTCTCTAAAGTGTAAGAATAATATTGAAATTCAATAAATTCATTTAAAAACATTTTTTTTTTAAGGTTCATTGTTAGTTGCTGCTGCAAAATTTGGTGGTCATGTGATTGGAACAGATATTGACTTCTTAATGCTTCATGGGCGTACAAGGCCTACAAGAAAACAGACAAGAGTAAAAAAATTTTAACAATATAATTAATATCATATGTATTATGTATTTATACAGCTTTTATTTAAAAGTTAACAAAACTTAGAGTTTGACCCCTCTATACTTACTATTATATTTAAATTTATATTAATACTTATAAATTATAATATTATACATTATTTTTTTTACATTTATTTTCAGCATATAGCTAGAAAAGATGAAAGTATTGAAGCCAATATGATACAATATTCTTGTGTTGACAAATATATTGATGTAATTGTTGCTGATTCAGCTTTACCTTTTTGGCGCAGTGACGTAGAATTTGACTGTATTTTAGCAGATCGTAATATACATTTCATTAAAATAATAATTATTATCAATCCAATTGAAATAATACAATTTTTTTTCTATAGCTCCTTATGGTATTAGAGAACCAACTGAACGAATAGGCTCTAAAGAATCTTTACCCATTGTTAAGAAGGAAGGATCTCCTGTACATTTCCCATCCAAAGTAGAATATGGATTAAATGAAATAGTCAAAGATCTTATGTGCTTTTCTTCCAAACATCTGAAGTTGTATGGAAGATTGTTATTTTGGGTACCAGTATTTCGACAAGATTATGATGATGCACAAATGGCTAGACATAGTTGTTTTAAATTAATAGGAAATTGTGAACAAGTGTTGACGACATTCACAGCTAGGCGACTTTTGGTTTATGAAAAAATTAAAATGCCTCAAGTAAAATCAACGTATTATATACAACATTCTAAATAAATATTAATATATTAATATTATATTTATTCTAGGATACTGATGAATGTAGTTCCGCAATACCTACTGCTAGTACGTTCAGAGAAAAATATTTTACTCATGGTAATGAAAATCGTCTTACAAGAAAGCAAAAAAAAGCAGAGGCAGCTAAGAATAAAGAAATTTGGTTTGCAAAATTAAATAATGTTAATGTGAAATAAGATCAAATTGTAAGCTTAACAATTAGTTAATAAAGAGTAACATAAGTATAATACTTTTTATTCGTGATTACTTTTTAATAACTTATTTTGTAAATTTAAACTTATATGATTGGCGATTATTTAAAAATTATTCAAATAGACAATAGTCTGAACATATTGTTTTTGATCAACCAGACTTTTATTTTATTGAGGATCCAAAAATAATTATATTTTTAAATTGGATATATTTTGGTCATGGATCGATTGCTGTTAATTTTTGTTTACTAGATCAAAGGACTTATCACTATAACCATCAAAAGGGCACTTTGATACAGTTTCATCACATGTCAGTAGGTAAAATATAATAATATACATTACAAAACTAAAATTGATCAATTCAATGTAGTTTAACGWTCCTATTTGAAGATTCCACACTCCTAGTAGTTGTTGCAGCCCTGATCATTTATACATTTTAATATATCTATATAGTGATTTTTTTAGCATGTTCACTCCAATTTTCCCCTTACATGGCATATTTATTTCAGTACTGATTTTTAAAATTTTTATCAAAAGATTTTATTTTCAAATTCCTGATATTTCTTGTGTTACTTAAGGAGGGCCTATTTTTCAAATGATAACCCACTTTTTTGTTGCAAATTATGAAGCGGAAGGTTTTCTTGAAAATGTTGATGCATCTACCTCAATCAAAATTTTGATGAGTAGTTTTTAATTTGTTAAAATGTTTTTCCATATAAAGATAATAATCTTTAAACATGGTTTTAGAAAAATAAAAAGCATATTTAATTATTATACAAGTACTTATTATTTTTGGACCATTTTAACAAATTATTTATATTGATTAAATATATTAAAGTTTTAAATTCTTCTACGCATGTTCAATTTTTTTTTTTCATTGGATTATTTTTACAATTTTATCCATAAGAATTTTCAGAAAAAAATTGTATTTGGTCTCACCTATTGAATGTTCAATTTAAGGTTGATAGAATGAAATAATATTACAAATAAATTAACTATTTACTTATTTAAACTTTATTATAAAATAAAAATATAAGGGTGGTAATGTAAATCAACAAAAAATTAATTTGAGTGCTTATAAAATACATTATAATAAGATCAATTTCGTAAAAGAATATATAATATAATTTTAAAAAAATAATGAAATAATTCATTACATAAGAATCTAGTAGATATAGATCATTTTCCAATTAGTGGTCTATAACAATAAAACTATTGTTTGAGTGCTACAAATTATCAAATTTCATAAACAATGTGTTAAATTATTTAAAAACAATGATTTAGGAACAAAAAATAAAATAAATATATATATATATATATATATTAGTTAAAATAATAATAATATATTGGAACAATATCTCAACATGGTCCTATGTAATTTCTTTTCTTCTAGCTAATTTGTAAATCAGATCAACTAAACTGCTACGTTTATTTTGTAGATCATCTACATCCACTGGATCTACTTCACGTATGTCTAAATTTGCGCAAACAAATTGTGCGACATTTTCCGCATTGCATATAAGGTGTATTCCACAGTCGTAACTATTCTGTTGCTGTCTGGTCACCAATGGAGTGATGATGTCTACAATGTCTTTGAAATAGAATTTCAGCTTTAGTGCCAATTTCCTTGCCTGTTTCTCGTTGGAATCAAATATTGAATCCATGTGGAAGAGGCGTTTGTCTTGCGCCCCATACACTACCAACGACCAGTGTGTACCACCGACTGTTTGCAATTGTTCCTGATCATTCAGCGGGAAGAAGATGTACGAATAGTTTTTACCTTTGACCAGTGGGTCAAGGAACACAGCAATGTCATCTACGTTGCACTCCTTTATGCATTGCACTATTTCTGGGCTAATAAAATATACTTTTGGATTGTTCTTGAATACTTCTGTGTTCAGATATTCCATGTAGAAACCGATGACGGAATCGTTTAGCCATTGGTCGTCAACAAGCAGACGAACGTCGGATTCGTGAAGGAGAAAATTCTCGTAACTCAACACTACTGGATCTTTTTCTTTGGACGAAGTACGGTTGTTGCTCATAGTGGTGGTTTCCGGTAAGAACCAAGATTTTTATTTTTTTATTAAAAGAGAAAAAATTTGCCTAGCCGTTAGCAGATATATTACTATTCTAGGGTAGGTACGTAGTATAGGTACATACAACACAACAATTATTATTAATAATAATTGACATATTTGTTAATTGTTTATTCGCGCGAGTAATTAAGTTTGCATACGGGGCACGGGCACGAACGATAATTACAGAAATAACGATGTAACAATGTTAGTAATATTCCATTCAAATATTCCAAATTGTTTATTATTACAAATTTACAATCTACATTTTACACATCTAAACATTTAACATATYCTTACAAAAAAAATTAATAATGATAAATTGATTTTATGATAAAATGTATACTTAAGATTAAAAAGTAAACAAGAAAAACTAACAGTGTGACCGAGATTATAGAATTAAAAACCATGTTAGAATCATTAAAAATTTAAATTGTTCATGAAATATTTTCAAGTTCCACGAAGTTAAAACCATTATTCTATGGTCTTAATTTCATTTTTTTTTAGAAAACATTTTTTTACATTGAATTACCATAAATCATTTAAGCTTAATTTGCATAATCCATTTTAGTGTGAGTTCTACTAATTCAGACAAAGATAAGACTAAGATTGTTTTGTAAAGGAAATATAAAGAGTCAATCATCTTCGCATAAATCATAAAAATTTTTATTCTAATTGTTCAATAAATTATAAAACTAATGTTAAAAAAATAAATACTTTGATCATTTAAGAGTTATTAACTATCAGTGATACCTACTATTATATCCATCGTCAATTGAACACTTTCCTGTAACTAGGTAAATACTCGCGAATAAAATAAAATGTAACGTCGCGCGTCGTAACGATAATTGAAATGTACTGGAAAGAGAAAAATTATTCAAATAGGTATTATATTATTAATCGTACTCAATTTTTCCAAGACCGTTGAACCGTTGACCATAGATGCTATAAAAAAAATTGATATAGATATGAATTATAGTAGAATAGGCATAATATAGGCCGAAAAAACTTAAAAAGAAATTTTTTTTTTTATTGAACATATTAACATCGACAGCAAAGGCTGTCACTTATTTACAATAATGATATAATATAATATGTACTGATACAATGGTAAGTTATTTAATTAGGGTAAAACATTTTTTTTTTATATAAGATTGAACAATTTTGTTTTTCTTAAAAAATTAATTATGTCTAGGTTTTTTTCATGAATAGGTCAGAGTGTGGAGTCAAGGTTGTATGATATCTTATATGTTCAGCTCGTTCTTGGTTGTAGATTATGCAGTCGGCTATTATGTGTTTTATTGTTAATGCAATACCACAGGTTTGACAAATAGGGGGGTCCTCTTTTGCCATAAGGAAACCATGGGTGATTCTGGTGTGTCCTATACTCCTATGCGAAGTCGGTTAAGAACCGTCTCCTCTTTTCGGGTGAGTTTTGGGTTCGTCCACCGGCAGATTTCTACCTAAAAGAAATTTATACCATTGACTATTTTATTTTTGATTTATGATTTATGACCACGTACTGGATGATTTAATAATTATTTTATGAACATTTATTATGTAATTGGATATATTACATAATAAATAGTAAAACCCTAGCTGAAATTCAGATTAAACTTATTTTGTAAAAATCTTCAACAGCTACTTAAATTTCATCATGTGGTTATAGGTAAAGAAAGCTGGGGTTTATCCACTCCAAGTCCCACGTATGACATTGAATTTTTTAACCTAATTCTCAATTCTCATATTATTGAATTTTGAATAAAAAATTAAATATAGGGCAGTATAATTATTGTTTCTCTAATCACAAAATCACCATGACAAAACTTTAACAAATATCCTAAATTTACCTAATAGTTTATTGGAAAAAACAAAAAACTATATAATTTGTATCGGCCATAAATTTTACAAAAATTGTCTGGTAGTAGGGTTAAACAGTCAGTGGCTACTCTGTGGATTTGCCTGATAAAGTTTTACCGCTGATGTGTTGATAACGTTTTGATAGCCTCTGCCGTAACTGGGTAGGACGTCGTTCGAGGTTATTTGAAGTTCATTTTTGCCTTTTGGGCACTAATTTTACTGTCACTTTTTAACGTATAATTTCATTACCAATTTAGTCTATAATCATAGAATATGTCTGGATCAAACACCATTATGAACAACATGCGTTTTTTACGGAACCTAAATAGGAATACAGTGAAAACAGTTACCACTAAATGTCCAATCAAAGTTATTCAAGCATATAGGTAACTAATTGGTTAATTGATTATTTAAGGTATTGAGTGTATAATCATTTGTTTTCCTCTTTTTGGTTTCTAGATGTCAAAGTTCCATTCACTGGCGCACTGGCAGACGTCCATCCGTAAAAAATGTCGGCTATCGTTTCTATGCCACAGATTTACCAAGCCATATTAAGGTTTCTCTCCCAGCTTTGTCTCCTACCATGGAAAGTGGCACCATTATTAGTTGGGCTAAAAAAGAAGGTGAATAACATATTTCATACTTTTAGAAAAAAATTTCAAACTTTTCACAAATATAGGTGAAAGATTAAACGAAGGAGACAAATTAGCCGAAATTGAAACAGATAAAGCTATCATGGATTTTGAAACTCCTGAAGAAGGATATCTTGCCAAGATCATGGTGCCTGCTGGTCAAAAAGATGTTACAGTTGGAAAAGTACATAATAATATTTCTAATATTTTTATTTTAAGTATTCTACATTTCTAATAATTATGCGATATTGCAATATGGTCATCTTAAGAATATGGTTAAAACTGTGACCTTGCATTAGGGTCAAAGATATTATCAATTGGTGTATTAAAAAAAAAAAGCAAATATATTTTATCGACTATTAGACTTCAAAAATTAAATATTTAGTAGATTATTTTATTTTTATTTAAATATAACTAATAAGTTTAGATAAATGATTAAAAAAAATTTTTTTTCCCTCAGCTTGTGTGTATTATAGTAGAAAATGAATCTGATGTTGCTGCTTTCAAAGACTTTGTAGACGATTCTCCAGCAGGTGTTCCTGCCACTGCAGCACCATCACCCAAACCATCTATTTCTGCACCTGCACCGCCTCCTCCTGCATCTGTAGCTCCAAAAGCTCCAGCACCAACTAATTCAGTACCAATTCCAATTGGATCTCGTATACTTGCTAGTCCTTTAGCGAAACGTTTAGCTGCTGAGAAAGGATTGGATTTAAATGTAAGGATTACTACATTTATCTAATTATGCATAAAATTTAATGTAATTTTATAACTAATAAGACATTCAAATTTTAGACAATTGCCCAAGGTTCTGGATTGTTTGGTTCTATAAAATCTACAGATTTGGCCAAAGCTTCTATAGCTAGTAGTCAGAAGACTGCTGTCGTCGATGGAATTCGTGGTGATGGATTTGTTGATAAGCCAGTGACAAATGTTCGAAAGATTATCGCTAAACGTCTACTCGAGTCTAAACAAGTGAAATAAAACTTATTCTCATGTCTATCATCATTCATCAACACAATCCATTTATTTTATATTGTTTTTACAGACTATACCTCATTATTATCTTACAGTAGATTTGGGCCTGGATAATATTGTTTTATTGAGAAAGCGTATGAATGAACTTTTGGAAAAAGAAGGAATTAAATTATCTATAAATGATTTCATTATCAAAGCTGCAGCTTTAGCTTGTAAAAAAGTTCCAGAAGCCAACTCATCTTGGATGGATAGTTTCATTAGACAGTAAACTAATCTAAAAACTATTCTAGCTTGCATTAAAAAATAAAATAAAATTGTTCATTATAGATATGACGCAGTTGATGTAAGTGTTGCAGTGAGTACTGAAACAGGACTGATAACACCAATTGTATTCAATGCAGACACTAAAGGATTAATAGCAATAAGCACTGATGTTAAAGAACTTGCAGCTAAAGCTCGTCAAGGAAAACTGCAACCTCAAGAATATCAGGTATTTATTGTTTTTTGCTGAATTAATTCTGATATCTGGCAACATAAAATTAACTTTAACCTTTCCATCACAGGGAGGTACATTTAGTGTTTCAAATTTGGGAATGTTTGGTGTTAAGAGCGTATCATCGATAATTAATCCTCCTCAATCATGCATACTCGGAATTGGTGCTATGACCCAACGACTAGTACCAGATAAAACAAATGGAACTCGTGCACAAGACACACTACAAGTTACACTAAGTTGTGATCACAGAGTTGTAGATGGTGCAGTGGGAGCACAATGGTTACAAGCATTTAGGCGATATGTAGAAGAACCACATAATATGCTTCTTTAAGACTGATTAATTTGTCTCAAGAGAAATTCAGTCATAATATGCTTTCCGTAATATTTTCTTATATCTGTATTTTTTTTTTTTTTTATGTTATTTGTTATAAATAGTTTAAATGTTAAATTTATCAGTATATACTTTATCTGATTTTTAAGCACACTCTTAGTTGTTTAAATGCATCAAGAGTATATTAACACAAATAGGCATGACTCTAGTGAATTATAAAAGCTGAAAAAAAAACACACATATAAAGAAAGAAATGTTATCTTGATGTTTATTAGGATGTACAATTTGTATTTAGTTCAAGAATGTTCAAAGAGTAGTGCCAAATTGTACTTGTCTCCAATTCATAAGACCTGAATATGAAAAAAAAAAATTATTACAATATAAACAAATTGAAGAATTATTAATTTTTCTATCCTTGGTAGTTTTTATCAACAAAATGTACACAGAAAACAGCTTGAATCTTTATTACATAGGTTAATTATTAATTTGTATAGTTCAGCTTTTTTTGTGGTAATGATTAACAAAAAAACTAAAGAGTGTCATTTACTTGTGTCTTTTAAAAATCATCTTAACACATGTTTACTTTAGAAAATTATATACTTAAGCAACTATTGTAAGACCTTATAAAGGATAAAACACATTCCATATAAAGTGTAAGCCTACCTAAAAAATTTTCTAGTTTCAAGAAATATTAATGAAAATAAATTATTTAAAAAAAATATGAAACTATATAGATGAAAAAATCTTTCATCTTTATACGCCTTTGTAAAACCTAACTTTTCAAGGTTACTGGTGAAAAAAAAATAGAACTAATGTACAAAAATTAATGATATAACATTCCATTAAAACTATAAAATTATATAAATATTTAATCAATTAAATTCTTACTAAAAAAAAAGGATATATGACCTTTTTTTAAAAATTAAATAAATATTAATACAATAAAATTATATAGCTGTTCAAAAAAATTAAGAACATTGTATACAGTTATAAAATACTAGAATACAGCTGACAAATATTAGACTAAGGAATTAAACTATATATACAGTGAAAACATCCTATAAGGGACATTCGCAGGACCATACAAAATGAATGTTATAGAAAGGTTTCCGACCATGACAATATTTTTGCCGGGATGTCATCATTTTTTCTGCTAAGACAAGTTTCACTCACTCCATTACACTCATAGATATATGCGTTGTATTTCATAGTTTAGGTAATAGTAATCTACTATGATAATTCAGTGTTAAGAAAAATTAAATCAACTCTTTAAATATATACTCACCAAAAGCTTTTGACCATTGTGATTGATGATCAGTTTCATCTTTGCTGGATAAATCATCAACTGTAAATATATTGTTTTGATCAATATTTTTTGAGCTAACCTTCATTTCGCCAGTATACAACGACACTAATTTAATTATGTTGTGATATTGTTTTACTTTCAATGGACTCAATTGTATTTGTAATAACCTAAAATGCAGTAGACGCGTTAGTTAGTTACCAAAATCAGATTTTTGGTATCAAATCACCATTTTAAAAATATATTAGTGAAGAGATGTGGTGATTGCAGTGCAGTCCTTAAAACAAGATTTGCATCCAAATTCATCGGTTTGCAGTTCATACAGTTGTCATTTTGATTATTTTTCAAGTCAATTTTTTTGCTGCTTTTATATGTTACAATACACAATTCCAAAACCCACAAAGCCGATATACGTGAATGATGAGTGACCAAACACTGTAATACATTTGTCAGTAAACCGGAGTTATTAAATGTTTTAAATAAAACATTCCAGATYGCTTTATCTGTCTTGGAAATTCTACCTAAAAAATAAATGTCAATCTTAAATTAATCGGTTACAATCGATGACTTTGAAAAAAAAAAAAAATAGAAGAAAAACTACCTTTAGATACATTGCATTCATGAGCTTGAGATAAATATTGTGTAGTAAATACATTAACTAAATCTGAGGACCAATCCTTAATGGCTATAAGGTCTTTAATTTTCTTCACACATTCTTTGTTGGAACATTCAGACATGTTCAATTTCTCTCTATATTTTTTAATGTTAACAACTATTTCTATTTTTAATTCTTTAATATAATTTAATTTATTTTTACCTTAAAACATTTAATTTATTTTGCTTAAGAGCGGCGTTAGTTTGACTTTTGCTTAATATGTAGAATTCCAATAAGTCTTTAAATTCATAAACAACCTGTATGTGCACTTTTTTCGGAATAACCAAGAAATTTTCATCGTTGTTCCAATAATGTATCTAAAACAAACATTATGGTAATAACTAGGGCCCAAAATTATATGCACTAAAAATGTACCAAATAAGCATGCATATATGCACTGATTTTCATTCAAATATGCACTTAAAATTTGCAAAAACATGCGAACAAATACTATACTATTATAATAATTTTTTTTTTTTATTGATCTTTATACAAAACTTGACAGCAAGGGCCATTAGTTAATCTCTTAAATACTAATTACAATTTTTACAATTTTTTGAGGTTTACATTATGTTACATTATCTTAACAATTACAATTATATTTTATCTATAAGGTTGGTTAGTTTTTAAAAGATTAAATTTGATTTATTTATTAAGATTTTCTGCAAAGTTTTTTCTCTTCACGTTTGCTGGTTTTGCGTAAGACATAGCGTTAAGTATTAGTATTAATAAATTAATACTATTTTTCAATAAATATGTATTATATTTTAGAAAACTGCTAAAATATGCATACAAATTTAAAATGTTACAAATACACAAAAATATGCAACATTTAATTTTGCATACAAACACATTAGGTTAAAATTCAAATTTGTGTCTTACCTAGCTTCTTTTTAATTTAATAAACAGAAATATGCAAATGCATTCAATTTTGGGCCCTAGTAATAACATTTCAAGTATAACCACATTTCATAAATTATTTCTTACTTGTAACCATTCTAGTGCAAATTCCATAGCAACTCTCAAAGATTTTAGGGTAGGTAAATCTTGGTCATGTGAAATTTTGTGTCGCATATCAATTAACCATGAAGGTAGTTGTAAACGAGAAGCTCTATAATACATAGACTTCTGTGGACCTTTTCCAATAATGTCAGCTGTCAAATTGACAAACCTTGTTTGATGTAAATACCAAAAAATACATTAAATTTAGTGATTAAGTATGAAATTTTCAGTCTTACTTCATTATAGCCATGGAATATAAACGAATTAAATCACTTTCATTGGTAGGTTCTTCAACTTCATAAAAATAAACATCTTTAACGATAACTTGTAATATAATTTCAGTGCAATATAAACCTCGACATAATGATTTTCCTCTACAACAGAATAAAAAATGTTTAGTGTAAGAAAAAAATAAGTTATTTTTTCTACTCACCTAGATTTCCATAGTAAAAGTTTTCTTAAAGCTTGTTTATAGTTACTTGTATCTTTATTGCCAAATATATCTTGTCTAAGCGACTGCCACTCTGAACTAAAATTTAAAACAATGGCAATATTCAAAATATTTTTATACTAAATAAAACTATAAAAATAGTTACATTGCTATTTAGAACAGTGTTTATTATTCATTTTAATGGATGTTTAAAATAATTAATTTATACTGAATTTGTTAGAAATTAATTTAATTTAAAAGAAAATAACCAACCATGATATTGTTAAGTAAAAACAATTGACAAGAAAGCAAAATTAAATTATTTTTAAAAAAAAATCCGTACAAATTACACAACTGAATTATAGAGTTAACAGGGTAACAAATGTTAGATGATATTGACCATAGGTACTTTTATATGTTGAAGTATAACAATATTTGTAGCTTATTGACTATTGCTAACTTAATGCATAATATGCATTTCACTTACTCAGAAGACCACGGAGTCACAATGATTTCGTTCGATGAATTTTGTCTGAAAACCACAAAATTGAATTAAAAATTTAAAACCAATTTAATTGATCATATTTTAATCACAAAAAACACTATAATAATTCATTATTTGGCACGTATTTTTAAAATTAAAAACATGATATACATAATATAATTTCAAATTCAAATTTTAAAATATTATTAATTGACCGATTAACTTACAGTGCCATAATATTAAACCAACGGTTGAACTAATGAACTCTGGCTTTTAGGTCTGGAGAATATATACCAACCAATATATGATATTTCTATAATACCTATAAAATAGGTATTTCAAATACCGTATTTGACATTTGTATAATTTCAAATTAGTGGTTTCTGCACGTGGGTTATCTTCTCGTGTTATCACAATATTGAATATCGCTTATTTTGTTATCAGTGTTCAGTGTTTTCATCTTGGCAGAAATTAATGGACAACCATCATTCTGACCAACGGTGTTTACTGTTTATTGTTCTGTGTTCTGACCATCGGTGTAGAGAAGAAATATCTTCACAGTTCACAGTATTATTTTATTTTATTCATTTGTTTACAGTACCCGTGGGGCCGTGGCTTAAATATTTAAGCCATGAATCATGTAAGTTCCTATGTTATTATATTGTGGGCCGTGGGCCTGTGGCATGCCTAATTATTAATTCTAGTAAAGCGACGTATACTGATTATTGATATTTTATATTATATTTATATTCGCAGAACTTCTTTAAGAAAATATTGGTGAAAATCTTCGAAAAAAAACAGTTTTCCAAAACCCGAATTTTTTTAAATAAACAATAATTCTCGGAATCAATTTTTTTCTCTTCAAGATGTGTAGTTTTTAATGCTTAATCAATTGAGTAGTAACTACTTATATGAAGCATATTATATCAGAATCTAAAATAGAATGAATCGATTGGTTAACTCTTGCGGATAATTGAAGGTACATTTCAGCTTTCACTGCATCCACATCTTTAAAAAAAAAAAATAAGAATTCCAGTGACGGATTAGATAAAGATTTAAAACATTTCTTGTAAGTTTTCTCATGTGTAACAGTAAAGTTAGAGACCGGATCCAGTAGTTTTAATCTCTAACTTTGAAACTATGGCAAAACAAACTAATTCTGTCTTGGCCAAAAACGTTGTCAATGTTGTCATCAAAATCAAATCATCGTTTTTAAAAATTGTATTAATCTTCAATCACATCTTGCCATTTTTGATTAATTTTTAAAATGCAATTTTTCATATTTTGTTTCGCTCTCAGTCTCACGTGTGACGTAGAGAAAACGTATTCATGTAAGTATAAGTTAAATCATTTTTTACCTTTTTTAAGTAACCATAATCCAGCGGCGTATTTAAGAATTGTTATAGGGAGGGGATGAACCATCTAATATCACACATAAAAGTAACATATAAAAATACTAAACACGATTTAGTGTCTAGTTATATATAGGTAAATTCTTTAATAATAGAAAAAAAAGACCAAGGGGGATCAATCTCCCAAATCCCCCCCCGCCCCCCGTAAATACGCCGCTGCCATAATCATCTATTTTAAAAATATTAGAAAATAATACTATATAATTATTTGACTTTAAAAATAAAAGCTTAACTATTGTAAATTTAAATGTATATTACATTAATTTGAGACAATATTTAAAGAAAACAATGCCTTCCGAAATATTATACCCTCTATAATTTTTGTAATTGACGATAATTGAATTACTTCAAGTTTTCTAAAATAAATTTAAAAATGATTTTGCATGAATACATTTTGTCTATCACGCGCGTGAGTCCAGAGAAAGAAACAAATAGTGTGCTCAGGAACGTTAAAAATAATATAAAAATGTATGAATGACAAACATATTATTTTTTTCTTGGTTTAAATTTTAAGATAATATCTACAATAAGCATGTAAGTGTCGTACGATTAAATTGTATTGGTCGTGGTTGTTTGAAGAAACTGACGTTACAAATTTTAAATTAATTTTTGAAAGGCATTGGATTATTTGAAGGGTTACGGGCTTAATCTCCGTATTCCGACTTTTTTATGTTGGTGAACTAGTAATGAAGCTGTTAATAGTATATGGATTATGGAGACAAATAATGGAATATTAAAACCATAATGAGATCAAAAATAATTATTCTGACGTTAAATCGGACCATTTTTCCTTACTTTGGTCCTTACAAGTTACAAACGCAAACATTGAAAAATATTTACGATAAAGGGAATTTTAAAATTGTAAAAAGTTGGTAAAATATTCATGATCAATGATTCAAACTCTAATTATGAAATCAAAATCTATTAAGAGTTGATACTCTATATAGATGATATTATCACCTGTAGGTTAAATAAAATGCATAGTCTCTAAAGGCTATATTTACTTTATAGATGAAATTATATTCAATGTTTATTATATTGGAGTTTTAATGAATTTAGTGACTYCTATGAATTATGTAATAGGTCAAATTTTATCTTAGATTAACAAAGTAATATGGTCAATATGGATTCTTTGTAAAATTGTCAGTGTTATGCATTAGTAAGACAGTATAACAACTGACAACACTAGAGGGTAAACAATCTTTCAATATAAACCGGTTTCAATAAATTCATAGGCTATTTGACTCCATGCCGGTCGCCGGACCCTATTATATAGCCTGTGTTATTTTCAAAACCTGGAGTATGGAAACATTAAAAATGTACACGAAAATACACGCCTGGTGCCACAACAATATGATATCATGTATATTGTATATAATTTATAAATGTAATGAGATGGCCCATGCTGGTACATTAGCTGCTCGAACGTTTTATACTATAGGTAGGTATATAAAGTATATCGTTTTACACGTAATATCGATTATCATAATATAATGTGTGAACTGCAACCCTGTACGTCTAAACGATTTGGATATATAAACCAATCGCATAATATTATTGTGTATACATAATAATCGTTATTATGTAATAATATATTATCGTATCATGAATATTAACTGTTGTCAGTGGCGGGCGGCGACAGTAGCCCTGGAACGTATGGACGTGGTGGTGTGCGCTCGTCGAATCTGCATTGCATAATGCAATTTGCATAACATCACAACACTTTTCATCGCACCCCGTCGAATTTAGTTGCAGTGTTTAGTGTGTACCAAGTACTTATACATGTTTTATCATATATTTATTCTATAATAATATTATTGGAGTAGACACTTGAACTTAACTTGAACCTCCAGTTTGTTTTGTTGGAAAGCCGATCACTTGTACGCCGTCATACCGCTGAAACCACGTAAAACGCCAGCATAATGTTCATAATGGAAAAAGTGAGTGTTCGTGTAAGACACCGGAGATGAGTTTGTTTTCGGCTTTTAATATTAGCACAGTAGCGACTGTAGCGCGATAATATGTATATTAATACAGTCGATTCCACTTTATTGGGACACATCGGTTGTATGTTATTTTGTCCCAATAAAGCGGTTGTCCCAATAATCTAAAATAAAAAAAAAAACATAAATTTATTGAAAAACCGATTTTTTATGTTTTTATTATTACAAATACATATTACAGTAACACAAGTATAAAAATGATCTAATTATATAAAAAAACAGTATTATAACCTAAATATTTATAAAAATTTTTACTATTTTATCTTATTTAAAAAAATTATGAATATTACTTTGTTTTTACTTAATATTGGTTGTTGACGAATGTAGTTCGAACAAATATCCAAAGCACTTATTGTGCTTCCCTCATTTCCGTGTTGAAGAAAAAATAATATCAATATTTCCAAAGATTGCTTTGCCTCCAGTAGTCCGATTGGTGGATCTGGTTCCTCGTCTGTGTCTTCATCTGAATTATGTTGATCTTGTATGGATTGCATAATTACATCATCAACGTATTCATTTTGGTCATAGCATTGCACATTTAAATCTAGTTGTTCAAATTTTACGTTGTTTAGTACTCTTACGTTATCATATTCTTCGGAATTAGATTCCAACTGTTGATCGATGCTATGACTTTTCTCCAGAAAACCACACTTTCAAAAACAATTTTTTATTGTCTAACTACTTACATCACACCAGTTGTCTGAAATAAATTTAATTGCTTGTAGGATATTAATTTTTTTACAGATATCTGTTGCCGTTGATTTTGGTTGAAGTAAATTGTCATCAATCTTTTCTATAATCTAATTGATCAGTGTTGCTCTAAGTATACTTAACCTTTAAATTTTGGATAACGCGAGTCAGTCGTGATTGTTAGACTATTGATCTATTATTATTTAATATAAAACTCAATAAAAATGTCCTAATTATTCGGGTTCGTGGCCCAAATAAGCGTACTTTTATATTACAAGTATACATTTGTTTTCGTAATTGAAGTATTGTCCCGATTAAGCGGTTGTTCTTATTAACCGGTGTCTCTATTAAGTGGAATCGACTGTACAATCCTGACTTCGCGGTTATTAAACTACATTAATTCGTTGATTTTTCTTTACAGACTAAATCGTTAAACTTGCGGTACAACGAGATGTGTAACGACTGGGACGGCTTACACGAGTGCCTAGATCCTAAAAAATACGAGCATGGCCAATTGGTGCTGTCCTGGAAAAGACTGAACGTCTCGGTGGAAAATGTAACACAAAAGTATTTTACTTCATCAAAAATCACTCGCCAACAAATACTGTACAATGGTTAGTATGGGAAGGTGACCGCAAATTGAAAGGCACAAAAAAATTAAAATTATTTAACAATGACACTATGTCAATGTATAGCATATAGACGTATAGTGCTTACTGCTTACTACTTATTACATTAACTTTTCATATTTTTAAAATAATTAAAATATTATACCTTATATAGTAATTCATTTTAATCAATGAAATATATTGTATACATATAATATAATGATGATTAACTTTGACATTATTAGGATATGTTTTCCCTAGACATTTTTCCATCACCAGAAGCTCATATTTGCCTTCCTACATACTTCGAACACTTTTCCCAGAAAGAATTAAAACACTTATATCAACAAATAAACATTTAAACTAAGTTAACTATATTATTATTAACTATTATTACCAAATTAATTTATTTCTCTAATTTTTTCCGAAAAAAATAATATTCTATAAATATCATGAAATAAGCAATAATAATACGATAATAGTATGATTTTTTTTATTTGTCGTATTTGTTTAACCTGCGCTTGTAGTCCAAACGACCTTATATCTTTTATTTCAAAATCATTAGTTACTTTTGGTTTACTCGAGATCTTCATTAAACATGAATTACATTTTACAGAATCTTTAAAGAGTGAAATTATATTTTAAATATCTGTGAAGATGTCCCGTATATCATGTCTAAATGGTAGAAAAAATTTTAGGTGAAAATGTTCGTTTTTTCATAACAATGTGTTGTACATGGTTAAATGTATTTTTTCAGTTAGTGGAAATGTACAATGTGGAAATCTTCTAGGAATAATGGGCCCAAGGTTAGTGAATAATATATTGTGTTCTTGAATATTGTTTATTTTTAAATTATTTAACATTTTAATTTAATTTGACATTTAGTGGTTCAGGAAAAACTACTTTGATGGCGACCATAAGCCATAGAACTAAAGGTTTGTCGGGCTCATGATGCTTATTGTTTAGCTATATAAATTTATTTCCGTTTTACTAACTGCMAGCGTTTCCATACAAATTTTAGGAAATTTTGAAGGAGAACTGTTATTGAACGGTCGTCCGGTGTCCGAAGATGTGATGATTAAAATATCCGGATTTGTTCCACAACATGATATCACCTTTGAGCATCTAACGACTTTAGAACACTTGTATTTAATGGTATTTATTTATAAATTAACTATGTTTTATCTTTCTATCGCATATGAAGGATATGTTGCAATATAATCAAAAAAAAACCATGGGCGCCCTTATCCGTAGTTCAAGTTCAACGAGGCAAAATTATAATCTCAACCTTATTATTCTAATGTCCTTCCCTTAAATGTCGATGTCCATGTTGTCAAACTTCTGTATTACGTAAAAATAAATTTCGTGAATATTTTCATAAACAAAATACAAATTAAGTGTAGGCAGGTATGCATTTTTTATAAAAAAATCCAACAACGAGTGATGACAACACCATCTCTCACCCCCAAAGGTGCGTCGTTTCTATTGAATGCAAATAAGTGTAGGTTAGATATCATATTATGCTAGTTGTGTTAGTTGTGCAGTCGGCTATTGCAATATAACCCTGTGTATTATTAAATAGAGGGCCGTTGTTTTTAGGCGAATTTAAAAATGGATCGCCGCACGACCAAAACCACGTTAAAGGCTCGCGTCAACTATACGGTCACTGTGTTGGGCATGCGCGAATTCCTGGACAGTACCCTGTCGTTGTTATCCGGTGGTGAACGTAAGAAAGTCGCGCTCGCCGTTCAGCTGTTGAACGACCCTCCGATACTGTTTTGCGACGAAGTAACCACGGGCCTGGATAGTTATACAGCCACGCACATTGTCAACACGTTAAAACGTATTGCACGAACCGGTAAAATTGTGATTTGCACCATCCACCAACCCGCGTCCGGCGTTTTCGACAAGTTCGATGAGATCGTTTTGCTGTCAAATGGACGACTGGTGTATCAGGGAACTGTTCCAATGATCAATCAACTGTTTCAAAAGTATAGTTTCGCGAATCAATTTATTATTATTATAGGTATAATACCTAGGTACTAATATTGAGTACATGTATGTTACAATAAACATTAAGACCCGAGATCTGTCAAATCTAGTCTCCGAAGGCCCGTAGCCAGACCAAATTTTCAGGTGGGACAAACAAAATATTAGGGTGGTATTATAATATATAATAATATAAATATATAAAATACATATACATACCTAAAAGCCTTTCAAATATTTTTAATATTTTTAGAGGAGGCAATGATTGGCTTTATGGAGGGCAACGTCCCTTCTTGCACCCCTTCCCTCCTTGTAACTACGGGCCTGCTTAGTCTTAAATCGACAATATTAGTAATCATAACACCGTTCGCCAAAATTGATTTTGACTAGGTAGTTAAAACTAGAATTGGCCTCAACTTCAAAATTTAAGTAACAAAACTATAATTTTAACTGAAATGTAAGTGTTGAAAATAAAACCTAAAACGTGTGTAACCATAGATGATCAATACGGACTTAAAACTAAAAATGGAATTCTAGAAAAACTATGTATATTGCAAGTATATTCATTAGCATTTTTCTATTTATCAAAATAAAATATAATATTTGTTATTAGGTAGGTATTAATCAGTAAAACAACTAAAACACTTTAAAACAAAATATGGTTCATCATGGTTGGTGAATAATATTGATTACATAATATATTAATTTATTAATACACTTAATAGTTAGGTGTTACGGAATGATAGTTACAATTGTATGCAGTATCCAAGAATCGCAGTGTAAAATTAAATTAATTTATTTTCAGAGCAATCTTGTTACCTATATAGGTACATAATATTATACGTACCATGTAGGTACTCTACTCAGGTTGTAACACTGTGATGGCCTTTCTTGGACTCTGTAAGATAGCCAAGTATTTTGTTTGTTTTTTAACTTAAATGTATTGTAACTCTTTATTTAGATTTAATTACAAATGTCCGGATTTGTACAACAAGGCAGATTTTGTGATTTCTATTATGAATTCAGATAGTGAACAAATAAAAAAAAATGTTGATGAAATGTGTAAGATATCTTCAACGGACAAACAAACGGATCTTAATTATGATTTATTTAATGACCAAGTAAAATAATCAAAACTTTATTACGTTATAGTAATAATTACTATAGATTTATAATTATTATATATTATTGTAGTTATAGTAATAATTACTATAGATTTATAATTATTATATATTATTGTATTCTATATTTACTTATTTTTATTTCTAGGTACTACTGGATTATACTCAACATTTACAAATGTAAGTTATTGTTTGTTATACTCCTTTTTCAATTTTTAGTTTTTTTCAAATAAACAATAAACAATCAATATGATAATATATTCACTTCAATATTTTAGAAATATACTTCATAATACATATAACCTGTACGGTTGTACAAATTATTTTAATGATAATTGATAGTGAATATTTTAGCTTACAATAAAATAAATTAATAAATTAACAAATATTAATGAATAATAACCGTGACAAATGGAGGGACTTAATAGAAGCTGCAAAAGATTATAATGGTCTATAGAGCAAAATTCATAAATAATGATAGAAGATAAACTGATAAAAAAATTAACAATATTGTTTTGTATATCCGAATGCAGATAAGCTCGCTCTTGGTTTTTACAATTTACTATATACTTTCTCCTAAACTTAACTAATTCATATTTTTCACGTTATTGATTGCCAATATTTTTTTTTTATTTAGACAAAAACCATTATGGATTACACAGCTAATATTGATTTTAAACAGATCCATCATATGTCTTCTAAGAAATTACAAAGTAAAACTACTGGAGTTGGGAACTATAGTGGTAATTACTGCATGTATTGTTGATAATACATTAAAATACAATTTTATAATATATATATAAACTTTTAAATGAGTTGGCTAATGCTAGTAATAACTTTAAATCATAAGTACCTATGTTTGGTAGATTTAAAAATCAAACGTATATTAATATTTCAGTACATATTTATATTATCCATATTGACCTATATTCATTTAAATGTTGTGTGTATATTACTTGAAAAATAAACCGATACACTTAACATTCCTAATATATAATATGTCATACTTAGTTTCTTGGTGTCATATTGTCTACGCCATACCTGGACCTGAAGTTTGATACCAAAGCTGTTCAAAATTGGCAAGGCTTTTGGTTCAGTCTAATAACGAATTCTATCTTCCAATATTGTTATACGTCTATTATAACTTACCAAGCTGAATTTCCAGTGGTCCATCGAGAAGTCAGTAACAATATATATGCGTTGAGTGTGTATTATATTTCTCAAATTGTTATTACGGTATGTGTAAGAAAAAAATGTTCAAGAGTTTTAACACTCAATACTCAATACCTATATAATGAAATTTAATTGTTTACAGTTCATTTGGACAACTMTAGAAACCATGGTGTACACATATTTGGTGTTTTGGGTAGTAGGCATTAACTGGGAGGTAATGGTTGTGACAACGTTCGTGATAAATATGTTGATTTGTAGATCATATGGTAATTTTGCACTTAATAAGAAATTTGAATGTCTACATTTATTATAAGACAGATTAATGAATTGTATATTATATATTAATACCAATTACAATACTAATATTATGATTATAGGTAGTGTTCTATCAGCTTTTTTCGAAAAATTCGAAAACATTGTTTTATTTTCATTGGTGTACGATTATCTTGCTGTATCACTTTGTGGTGCCTACATTTCACTTGGGTAAGTTCACAAGACACAAACACACTGTTTAATACTAAATATAATGTATTTTCATAATTAATCACTAACTATCAGTACGGATATTTTATACGCTAAATTTATATTACTTAATATTGTTTTTGTTTTAGAACATTACCATTTATATTGTATTATATGAAATATTTTTCAATATTTTTTCTGGGCTGTGAAACATTATCTATATTACAATGGCGAAACGTCACAATCATTCGTATGTTAAACAATAATTTATATTTGATTGATATCTTTAATAAATTTAAGGGCGTCATTTACGAGTTCAGAGTTACAAGGATAAAAGAATTTACATCCCAACTAATACAACCTACCTCATACTCTTGATATATTTTCAGATTTGTTTTTGATATTGATTGTCGCTATGTGGCTATTCTACCACAGATAATATAATTTTGATCTTTCTAAACATTTTTTTTTAAGACAGTCGTGATTCGTGATCATCTTTTGAATTACATTTATAATACATTTAATTCTTCTTAGCTAATTATACTGTACTATATACTGAACATGTTATGTATAGACTGTATTAACATTCTTAAAAATTATCTTCTGAATTTTCCTAAATGATGTCTTTACTGCTATAATATTTATCTGATTGTACATTACAATTTTGCCGGGTTACATGAAAAATGTATACATTTAATGGATCAATCATGGGCCACTAAATCATATTTAAGGGATCATTATAGTTCGCTATATTGATTCGTTAAATATTTAGCGATTGTTCATACAATCTAGTATAAGTATTTTAATTATTTATTGTTCTATACGAAATGTGTTTGTTATAGCATGCCTAGACGTCGATAATTGTTTACGCGATGGCAAGGAAGTCTTGTTAAGTTATGGCTACGACATTAATCGATTCAACACGGATATCATAATTTTAGGGGTCTTTTACGTTGTCTCCTATATACTTGGATATTACGGATTACTAAGGAGAACAAAAAAACAACCAGCTTATTGAATGAAGACTGATACAGATTATAATTTATCTTATTAAGGTCGTTGCTCATGTTTATTATTAACTTATAATTAATAAGTATTAATAATTATTATTTATTTTGTATAATCACTCAATAACTCAATTGGTGTTTATTGTTTAAATTAAAATTGTCCGTGTATTTATATGGTTAGTGTTCAATTAAATATTAAACTGGTTTATTGTGGTTCGTAGATCGTAGATACATCTAAATATAATGCACACAATTATACGCACTTATATGATATGATGTACAATATAGGCATATAATTTTAAAAATACCTATTTCCTATTATCGTTTACTCGTGTAATGTAAACATATTCATGGGGTATGTAATTGTTCAAAATTCTTCTTTTGAAAATATAATGTAGTAGTTATTTATAATTATTGTATTTTACTCCAGATCTCAGTATCTCACTAAAAATTGAAAACACTTGTTAATGAATTTATTAATAAAATAAAATTGATATTTACAGAAATTAACATGGATTACATGCTTTTAGCATTGGTATATATGAGACAAAACTATTGGAAAAAAAAAATTGATTAATTCCTAAGAATAGTTTCATAATAATTCTTAATGTTATGTACCTATAATACTTATATGGTTATTTTTTTATTATTATTATTATTATTTATTAATAACACCCTCGCAATATGGTTCATTGCCCGTTATTGGGTTTACAGTGCGAAAATTATAAATTACAGATATTATAGAAATTACAAAAATTGTATATATATATTATAAGCCTAACTTATAAGTTACATTAAATTTTGGATAAAGACTGGCGGCTGTGATGAATTAAATGATATTGGTAATGGATTGAGGGTGATTGCATAGAGTTTCTGATAGCGATTCGGGTAGGTTGTGGCTTCTTCGGGTACTGTCGTAGATTCGGCATTCCGTGAGTATGTGGTTGATGGTGACTTGGACACCGCAGATTGTGCATTTTAATTGGGGTTTCTTCTTTGGAAATTTTGAAACTGTAGGAGATTTTCGTGTGTCCAATTTTTAGTCTGGTTATTATTACTTCGAATTTTCTGTGAATTTCAAAGGGAAATGTTCAATTATCGGTGTTATGTTTTATATGATTTAATTTCGTGTAATAAGATGTCCACCTTTGTTGACATTTCTTTGTTACGAGCATTCGTATGTCACTGGAGGAAATGATTGTGTGGGCGATGATAGTGAAGATGTGATAGCATTTTTGGCTACAAGATCAGCGAGTTCGTTTTCTTTTATGTTAGAATGTCCAGGGATCCAAAAGAGTTTGATTTTGAAGTTATTAAAGTATTGTAAGGAGTAATGACGAGTATTTTAATTGTATTATTATTARTTAATTGGTAATCACTCATTTTTATGTTTACCTATATATATATTTTTTTAGAGTTTTGATTTCGCTTACGAGTAAACACTGTGCATTGTGATTTTTCTGGTGAGAAAGTGAAGCCAGATCTCAGGGTCCATGTAAGAAGATTGTTGATGGCTTGTTGTAGGTGGGTTTGGACTGTTGCTAAGCTTTTTCTACGGCAATAAATATTAAAGCCATCCGCGTTGAAGGTAGAATGGACAGGTGGAGGAATGTTCTGAGTGATATTGTTGATAGCAATAAGGAAAAGCGTAACCGAAATTGTAGATCCTTGAGGTACTCCGTTCACCTGTGAGAAAGACTTGGATAGAGTTTGATTAATTCTATATACGTATATAAATATATAAATTTATATATATATATCTTATATGGTTATGTATTGTATTTAAATTCATAGTCATTAAATTTATAGTTCGAGCAGTATGATTTAATATGTATTCGTATTGCATGTATAATATCATAGGCGTGCGCACAGGGGCAGCAAGGTGTACTCTTGCCAGTGGCGTATTTATACAAGAGTCTCTTGCTGCCTCTGGATGGTTTGAATATATTTGTATGGGCCGAACTATATAATAATAACATAACATAATAATACCTATAACCGTATTGTAATAATAAAGAATAATGTGTTATTGATATTTGATGTATTTTTAATTTTGATATGGTATACCGGTGTTGAGCAAAAACAATCTATGATTAACCAATGATTATCGTTTAAAATATTTTWATTTAAAGGTCAAARGTTAAATTTTGATTTTGAGCTTAAAAATGTTAACTTAATACCCATGTATGGGGCCGGTAAAAATATTCGCTGCCCCCGACTTGAAACTCTGCGCATGCCTATGTAATAATATAATGTATAAACAATAAAAAATTACAGATTACATTATATAATTATGTTAACAGCATTATCGCAATAATCAATAAGCATTTATTGAATATAGATAGCGAACAAAACTATTATTAAACAATATAAAGTAAAAATAAAATTATTGGTAGGTGTGTAGTAGGTATTTACCTAAGAATACAGTAGACGGTAATTATTTTAACAATAAACATTAATTTTATCAAAAAGAATAAAAATTAATGAAAACATATTTTTGTCACCACATTCAAAATCATTATAAAAACAAAATTTTTTAAATGAATTCACATTATTTACCATTTAATACTTTCASATAACAACCAAGTTCTATATAGACTCTATAGTCTATACAGCGTTAATTCCCAGCCAAGTGTCACCAATGGCCAATTGGTGACTTTTCAAAATATTCATGCTAGTATGCTACTATTATAAAATCATATATACTTATTGTGCTACAATGTTGTACAGATTGTGTATTTCAAATCGTAAAGTAAAAAAATACTTTTACAGACCTTTATTTTATAATCATCATTTTAATATTATTTGATTATATATTATATTTATAAAGGCGTTTTTATACTTCAAGCCATTTTAATATAAGAATATATAATAGATAAAATTTGTTAAAAAATTAGTTACCTAACATTCATTATGAAAGAATAAAATAAAATATTATTTATTTTGCCTCATCGTTCTTCTATTTTGAGTATTGATTATGTGTGTATAGTAAACATTCAGAGTTAAAAAAAAAATAGAAGTCGATATTAGAATAAGTATTTATATAATAATATTTTTTTCACGTTAAAAATAATTTTAAGAGCATTTTCTTAGTGCATTAAATCGTATTTTTTAAATGCATGTTTCTTGTTTTTTTTTTTATATGCATTTAAATCCGTTCCCTTCTCATAACATAAATATTATAACTGATCAGTAACAATTCCCCGATCTTTGCATAAATACATTTTTGTGAGTGTAAAATGTTTAAATATTGTTTGGAGTTTACCAATTGCGCTCGGTCTTTTCTGTATGTCTGGGTTGATAAACCTATTGCGTTCAATAAAATAAAAAATATTCAATGAATGTCGATATTAATAATATTTTTTAGACTATAGGTACATATATACCTAATAATACACATATACATTTATAATTTAAATTTACGTTAGTATTAAAATATTATTCTACATTAGACCTAATATATACTTTTATAAAAATGTGTATTAATCAAAAAAAAATTTTTACATCAACTGATTTTTTACGTAAGGTGGCCTAACGAGATAAAAATATGTAAAGTATTTTTTTTCCTCTACATCTTATGTAATAACAGTATTATTGCTCTCGAACATGATCAAACTATTACAGTTTGACACAGACACAGTTTAACTGTAATATTTATTTAATATAAACGCAGGAGAATCTAACGTCATATTCTGTGACATACTGACATGGATCACTTAAAAGGTCGTGTAGCTGTGATCACAGGAGCTAGTGCCGGCATCGGGGCAGCAACAGCTATTAAGCTAGTCAAGGCTGGCCTTACTGTGGTGGGAATAGCTAGGAGGTTACAAAGACTTCAGGTACCTAAATTTTAATATATTTTCTTCATCAACGACCCATCGACCCCATAGCAAAATCCCTAAATTTTTTATTGTATATTTATAAATTTCAGTGTATTTATACAATTATACATATTTTGAACATTATTTCTTTCGTTTAAATCAATGGTTCCCAACTTTTTTGACACTACGTACTACTTAGAGAACTTTCAATAGGTACATAACAAACCATCATTAATTTTAATCCTATTTTTTTCTCATAAAGGAGAATTAATTTTTTCACACATTTCAAAATTTATATTATGAATATATATTTACAATTAAATTTTACAGCTGGCATAAAGTAATGTTTATTATTTTTCAAGTTTAAGTACAAGTTTTACATTTTTTTATTATAATGTATAATATATAATACAGAATTTATCACAAATTTCTAATGTAAAAAAATGTATTTGTATTACACCCCAAAAGAAAAATGTAATATTTTTAAATTTTGTTGGTATGGTTCGCGGTCCATCACACCATGTTTCACAGACCATATAGGTTGGGAATCTCTGGCTTAAACAAATAACTATGGTCTCATCTATTCTACGTTTTTGGTCGTTACCGTAATTGTTAATTACTACTTTTTAATATATGATGGCGTTAAAACGGTTTGAAATTAAATCGGTTTTAAATTCTTAAACTACATAGTGCAAACGTTTAAACTTCATAGGCGTAAATTTAGCTTGCTATAAGGAGGTGGAGGAGAGGGCTAAGATTAATTTATAACCCAAGTTATAACTAACGTTAGAATAAGACCGCGAAGCGAGATTTGTTCTCACCCTGCGGCCACACCATCAACATCTAAATTAAGATTAACATATTATTACATAACTTGTTATCGTCGTAGTTATACTATATACTATTGACCTAGCGCAATCACTTCTAATTTTATTACAATACAAAATCTATAACTTAAACGTTCATAATATAATCATATAGTATAGATAATCATACACCTATCAGCTATCCTGCTTAGGAATTACGTGATAAATTGAATTATTTTTTCTAACAAAAAACTGAGATTATAGAAAAGAGTGAATAAGACTTAAACGAATTAAGTGGGCTATACAATTTTTGAAGGGCTTAGCCCCTAATCCCCCTCCCCAAATGTACGCCTATATGTTTAACTTTTAATATGGTATACATTTTTTAAACCGTTTTTACAACTTATTGTGTTTATATGATGGCGTTAAAACCGTTTACATTTAATAAAACGTTTTAAAAATTAAAATGCTCGCACTATGTAGTTTGAATGATAACATAAAATTTTCAATTTTTAAACTATATAACAGGGGTGGCCACAACAAGGCTCGCGAGCCGCATGCGGCTTCCGAGTGAGTCTCGTGTGACTCTTGAAAGTTGAAACTAAGCTTAGAGTAAAATTAATTCATATTAAAATACATATAAAAAACACTCCTCAAAAGTAAAATCCCATTTCTTAATACCTACTATCTTACTACATGAACAATTATGCTCTGTGTAGTGTAAAAAATGAATGTTGCTTTATTTATTATAAAATCAAAAATATATTTTCGTTTTAAATAAACATACATACCTATCTTAACAAAGTGGCTCACTTCAAAATAGCTTCATAAATTTGAGGCTCCCAAGATAAAGGTTAGTGGCCACCCCTGCTATATAATATATACCTACACACATGGAATTTCGATTTTATTTTTCGATAAATATCGATCCTCTTATAATAATACTCAACTTTTCCTCTTATACTGCTATTATAATATATGAATACTGAATTTTAATTATCCTTTAAAATTGTTTATAGGATATGAAAAAAACGATGGAAGAAAAAAATTTCAGTGGTCAGTTTTTTCCAATGGAGTGTGATTTGACGAACGAAACAGACATATTGAACGCTTTTAAATGGATTGACGAAAATATTGGTGGTATACATTTTATGATCAACAACGCTGGAATAATAAGGATATCTAAAATTTTAGGTAAGATAATCATTACGGCCTAACAAGTGAAAAATATAATATGTATCTCCAAATTCAATTATCTATAATGTTTCAAAATGTTCAGCGTGTCGAACGGATCGGCGATCTACACAAAAAACTAATTTATACCATTTACTTTATATCTAATAAGGAACGACCAATATTTCCTGCCTCCATCTTAATTTTCCATACTTCAATTAAATCATAATAATCTTTGCTAATCATTATATTTTTATATAGTACAAATTATGTTATTTTAAATACATTTTCCGTACACAATTGTATTTTTTAGACGGCTTAACAGAAAACTGGAAAGAATTAATTGACTGCAATGTACTAGCACCTACAATTTGTTCGAAGGAAGCTTATAAATTGATGAAAAAGTATAATGTTACTCATGGTCATATTATACAAATCAACAGGTAGATAACATTAATCATAACAACTATTATCATTGTATAATCAACGATATTATGATGTATGGACTATGTAATATATACATCTACGTTTTACATGTTCCCTATAGGTATAATAATTTAAATTTTTTTATTGTTTTCAATGTTACCTATACGACAGAGTCTTGATGTAAAATATAATTTTACACGAGGACTTTGAAGGGTAAAAAATTGATTAGCCTTTTTAATAATTGTCCATGTGATTGATTATGTATATGATTGAGTTCATAGTGTTCATACATCATATTTTTTGAACATTTTTATCAAATTTTGAGTCATTTATATATAATTATGATCACCAATATTTAAACGACAGGCTCTGACGTTCCCAGTTCAGACCATTTCAGGGTCTAGTTTATTTAAAATATATTCTATAGGTACTTTGTTTTATTCTTAAATAAATTATGTATTGCAGTAGGTATATTAATATCTGATTGCAGTACTATAGACAATTTTAGAATTTTTAAGGAAAACCCAAACGAATTTCAAACTATTGACACTCGTCGACTGTATAGTACCATAGATACTATACTCCGGCCCACGAGAGATCAGTACCGCTATTCGACCAAAAATCGTCGAATTCTGCGCATCCCCTGTGTAGTGCGCCACGATTACGGCACATGGCGGGGGAAATTCTGTCGCTGACGGTTGTTCTCAGCGTGCGCGTGACGGTACTGATCTCTCGTGGGCCGGAGTATATCAGTTTTTCTCTATTTATATTATAATATTTCAATCGGTTTCAGTATAATGGGCCATTCGTACTCAATTAATCCAGGCAACAAGGTTTACAATGCGTCCAAACAAGCTCTTAGAGTGCTGACCGAAGGCCTCCGTCACGAATTGGCCGTTGCCGGGGATGGCCACATCAAAGCTTCTGTGAGTTTATTCACCCTTAAACAGTGGTCAGTGGTGCACACACTCATATACCAACCTGCCTAAAACCATCTCAGGAAAAAAATACGTGTCCAAAAAATGTTAGGGTTGGTTTATCACCCCGTTAATGGTACGCCAATGCCCGTTTATAATGCTATATATATATCAGTATATCACCATATCACCGAGGTAACACGCTTCAGTGCTTGTGTATATATTGTTTATTCGAATTTATAATATGCAGCGTGATGCTGTAGCGTAATATTATAACTGTCTTCTAATAATTAATGGAGTAGTTCGGATGACTCGTTTGCTAAGAGTCTTTTTTTAT